GTGGCCCGGGCCCTGTGGGAGTCGCACTGGAGGGAGGAATGGATGGTCTTGTACCCCAGCCACGTCTCTTTCTTCGCCATGGGCACGAAAAAGCCGGGCTGGTCGGTCTTCCTCCACGACATCCTCGGGCTCAAGGTCCCCTCGAGCAGCAGCAAGCTATCTGCGCACTTTCCCGGCAGCTTCTTCTTGTCCCTTGAGACTCTGGGGAGGGTGCACTACCTCTGGTTCGCCTCGGAGACCACCCGGGACAGCTGGCTGACGGCCCTGACCGCGCGGGTGGGGGGCCAAGCCGGGTATGAAATGCCCGTGGGAGTCATTATTTCCGATCCACGTGAGGCTTTCGTCCTCAAGTCAGGCCAATGGCAACCTCGCAGCCGCATTATTCTGAATGCCCGCCGCATGAGCCTGGACGTCCCCCCCCCCGCCACCACGGAAGAGGTGGGGCCCTGCCTGAGCACGCTCTCGGTCAAGGCCTTGAAACTCGTCTACGACTTGTCCCCCGACTCGGGGACGGAGCGCTTGGTCTCCTTCCTGGACCTTTGCTCCTCATTCCGCGTCCTTCCCTTGCACCTGCTGGACTTGGCATCCCCGGAGGCCCTGGTCTTCTTCCTCAACATCTACCACACGCTCCTGCAGCATGCCCTCCTCCTGCTCGGGCCACCCTCATCCAAAGACTGGTCGGCTTTCTTTACCAATGTCTCCTACGAAATGGGCAATGACGTCTTCTCCCTGACCGAGTTGGAGCACTGCGTGTTGCGGGGGCACCTAGCCCGTCCTCGCTCGGTCCCTCGGCACATGCCTTCCCCCCCACCCCTGGACGACGACCACTACCTCTACGCCCTGAGTAAGACCAACTTCCGCATCAATTTCGCCCTCGTCAACGGCAGCCTCTCAGCGCCTCCTTTCGTCACCGTCTTCCAGGCCGGGCATCTGAATGAGCAGCTCAACAGGGCCAGCGTCCGTTTCATAGACCACACTGTGAGGATGGATGGAAAGAAGCGCTTGTTGGTGCTTCCTAAGGTATGCGACATTTACAGAGCTGACTTTTCCGCGGCAAAAACAGGGAGAGAAACCATGAAAGTATGCCTGCGCTTCCTAGAAAGGGCCAAATGGGAACGAATTTCTTGGTTAATGGCCGGGGCCAAGGCTCCTTCCGTGAAATATTCCTCTATGAGGGCAAAGTGTCACGAAACGCTTTGCTTGATTGAGGATAAGCTGACCACCCCTCGAAATGCGGTGATAACATCAATCGGAAACGGTGCGATACAAGCCACAACACCACTGTTGGAGTCGAACAAAGTAGCATCCCCTCCCATTCCTGAGCCTCTTCTCTTGACGCCTGTGGCGACAAGTAAAGGGGCACTGAGAAATTCCTCCCCACCACTTCTGAATCTCGACAAAGAGGAGTCTTCATCGGCCAGTGAGGATTTCGACGAAGAAATGGAGGAGGATGAGAACGATGGGGGCTCGATATCCGATGAATTGGAAGGAGAGGCATCAGAAGAATTGGAAGCCCCAGTCGAAAGAGATGAGTTAGTTTCAGGAGAATGCGATGGAACTTCTAGCGATAACGGCACATTCTAGAGTCTTTATTGATGAAAAGTACACCACAACTGTGTAGATTTACAGGTAACGTGTCATTTAAGACACATGAGCAGCAAAAAGTGCAACAAAATGGCTGAAGCCACATAAATGTAAAACTATGAATCTCACGATTCTTATATTCATATTTTGTACTTTTTTGCGCTTTATTTGCGACGTTGGTTGAACAGTGGGGTACGTGTTGGATGCCATTAAAGCAAAAGCACTTTTTCATGTTTCTGTTTACTGCGGATTATCACGGGAGTTATGAGAGTAGGAACAGTCCGTGTCCCTCCGCATAGTTGACATTGCCCAAACCCTACGCCGAGACATGCAGCGCACCACATAGCGACTGTCCCCCAGCGGACGCCGAGACGA